CATAATTTTCACCAGTCCCCACCTGTATTTAAACAAATAAGCAAACAAACAGGGTGTCTCCAAGCCAGCCACTTTGTTTCTGCCTTTGGACAGCTTCTTGCCTTGTAACTTGTGCATGTACTGAAAATGCTTAAAGGGGGAACGCAAGTTGCTCCCCCGTCACAGGATTTCCAAATGAAGATGGAGTCCCTTCAGGCAGTTCCCTACCCATGAACAGCATAGTCTTTCATGACCTTGCTACCCTGATGGGTGAGGAGGGATGAGGCTTCCACACCAGGAGCTCTCCCTGGGTGTGTGTCACACAGAAAGAAAAAGAAACTCCCACTGATGAGAGGTCTCCCGTGAGGGCCCTTTTCCAGGTTACCATTGAAGTTCAAGAGTATTGGATCTGTCCGTTATACTGGTTATACAGGTAGGATGCTTGTGCTGGTCGTAAACCTTGGTATGTTTGCTTCAGGTCATGGCAGTTAGGCCTCAATAAAGCGGTTTATTTTAAAAGTCACTGAGTCACTTGGGGTGGTGGGAGCTTCTTTTCCATCCATTTTGCTGAAACTTTTCTGGTCCAGGACCCAATGATTCCTTTCTTACCTAATTCCATGTCTTTGTCTTGTGCTTGATTTGCCCATCCTCTCGAGCCCTGACTTTGCTGAACACCTCTCCCTTCTAGAAGAACTTTCTCCTCATGGCTCTTCACAAGTATTTTGTTGTCGTCATTGTTGCTGTTGTTGTTTCCATCTCCTGTGGCTTGTGGTTTGCCACCCGTGTTCCTCTGCCTTTTTCCTCTCCGTTCACTCCTCCAGGGTTATCCCAACCTGTCCTGCATTTTCACGCTTCATCACTTGGGCTGTCTGATAGAATTTCTCATGATGGTGGAAATCTCCACCTGTGCTGTCCAAAACGGTAGCTACTAGCCACAGGTAGCTGTGGAGTGCTAGCAATGAGGCCACTGTGACTAATAAAGTATATTCCAAGTGTGATTTGTTTTAGCTAATTCCAGATGCAGTAGCCACATGTTAGCGACTGATGTAGCAAATAGTTCAGTTCTGGATTATTGTGTGTGTGCAAATTCAAGATGCGAACCCCATTAGCTGGTGTTGACCTGTATTATCTCCAAATAAGGTAGTAGAATTATTTTTTATGAGACTTTTGTTTCAACCTTGTGCCTCTGTGCATTACAGGGATTTAGTTGTTCATGGTGTTTTTAAGTTGAAAGCCTCTGATCAGGGTGCTGGTGATGCCCACACATGTCTGCAGGCTCCAGCTGTGACTTGGAGTCATGGTTACCTGCCTTCTTGTCATCCTGCTACAGACGTGCAGGCTTGCTGCCCTCCCCTTCGGTTATCCCCGTGTGTCTCAGCAAATGATGCCCCCTTTCCTGCAGTTGCTGAGCAGCAGTGTGTGACCTTCGTTCCCTCCTTTCCTGACCCCTTCCTGCCTCCCCCTCCTGCCCAGCACAGGATGTCTAGACTCTGCCACTCTTGTTTACACCCACATCACTCGCCTGCCCCACTGCAGGGACTCCATGCTGGTGGCTTTCACTCCAGTCTTTAGGGGACCCATTCATCATTCATTCCACAGCCAATGGGGTCTTTTAGTGAATCAGGTGACGCCACCCCTGATATCCAGGGCCTTCCCATTGCCCCAACAGTGATCTGTTGTCAACTGACAGTGACCTACAAAGCCCTAGTGGTCTGGCCCACTTCCTCTAGCCTCGCACCACCTGCTCTCCCTGGCCGTTCTGGGCTAGGGCTGTCTTCTCTGCAGGCTCTGCGTGTGTGCTGCCGGCTGGGTGCCCAGCTCTTTCCCACGCTGGCCTCTTCATTCAGGATTCAACTCAGGTCATTTTTGCAAGAGAGTGGCCTTCTGATGAAATCAGTGTCCCCCATCCAAAGCTGAGCAACTTGTTTTGGAAGTAAATGATGTATGTTGTCACTGCTTTCTAATGCTTTTGAGTATTATAAACCAAGCATTATCAAAGTATTTTTGATTAGAGATCCTTGAATCTTCCTTAAGAATCATCTTAAATCAACAGAATTCTGCTGTATAAGTGGCATTGCCAAGTTTCTATGTGAAAAATAAATATTGGTTGTGCTATTTTTTAACATACTCAGCCAAGCACTCAAATATGCAAATTTGACTGCTTAAATATGTGCAAAACAGGGTATTAAGATATAGACATGAAAGTTATGATGATATAAAATTTAAATGAGTTTTGCATTACTGTTAATATACCATAAGCACAAAGTAAAGCTTATCATTCATTTAAACTTTCTAATTTCTGAGATTTATGCATATAATAACCAAGTTTTTGAGGACATTTGAATTTAATTTAAAATACAAAATCATTTTTGTCTTGAAGAGAAAGATCTATACTTTATTTGTTTGTTGTTGCTGTTTTTGGGTTTTTGAGAAAGGATCTCACTATTGAGTGAAGGTTGGCCTTGAACTTGCTTGTGTAGCCCAAAAGCTGGCCTTGAGCTCACAGTGATCTTCCTGCCTCAGCCTCCAGCATACTGAAATTACAGGTGTATGTACCACACTTGTTTTTGTTTGTTTGTTTTGTGTTTTGCAGTCCTAGAGATTGAACCCAGGGCTTTGTGCATGTTATACAAGTGTTCTACCCCGAGTCACATCCCCAGCCCAAGAGAAAAGTCTATACTTTAGAATACTTTATTCCTTCTGTGATTTTAGTGTTTACATTTTTTTCCAGTCTGTTTGGTTGTTACAGAGTCTCACTGCACAACTTGGTCTCACTGTGATTCTCTTGTTTTCAGCCTCCCCAGCACTGGGATTGCAGGCATAGGCCACTACTCCTGTACTCTGTGGCTGGCTCAGCCTACCCTGGGGGCAGGTTTGCCATAGCATGTGGTGCTGGGGATTCAACCTTGGTCCCTGTGCTTGCCTAAGCAGGCCCTGTAGTCCACTGAGCTATCTCACCGGCCCTCTCAGTGTTTACTTTGTGAAAATAAAAAAAAGTTATTGAAATAGTACAGAAAAAAATACCAGAGTTAAACAAAATAGATTACAAAATTTGTAATTCTTACCTTAGTTTTTTTAAAAAAAATATATAGTCAAGCACTGAAACTTTTTACAGTAGTCATTTGTGGAACAGATCCCCAAAATAACAAAATTGAAATGACATATGCAGAATACTGTATATTGGTTCAGTCCCATAATAAAGGAGGCAATAAAAAATCCATTTCATTTTTCACAATGGAAATTAAATATGAATAAGAAAACATGGCATAATTCCATTTCAGAAAATTCTTTTTTTTTTTTTTTGTGGTAGAAGGGATTGAACTCAGCACCCTGTGCTTGCCAGGCAAGCACTTACTCTACTGAGCTATCTCCCTGGCCCCCAAAATTCTTTAAATTAGATAGGCAATGTTCAGAAAATTAAAATAGGGTCTCCATTTTACTTGACTTGCATTCCATTTCTGTCCAATGTCAGAGATGGTAATGATTAAAATATTTGCATTCTTTGCTTCACTTCTGAGATAGCTCTCTGAAGGGAATAATTCAAGCTTTGGAGAATTATTTATAATTTCAGAATGCCAGGAACCATCTAAAAAGCTGGAGTGACTGGAGTGTACAATGTCCATACAATAAAGCATTGTATGATCATTAATATAATTTTCAGGAAAACTTTCATGTTGTGGGAAAGAGCTTCTGACATAATACTGAATGCAAGAAAAGGATATAATTATGTGGTATGATCTTAATTGGGTAAGAACAATATCCATAGTAGAAGACATGTTAGTAGTGGTTACTTCTAAGAAATACATTGTTACTGGTTATATTTTCCAAAAATTTTGGGAAGAAAAAGGCATGAATTTTGTAGTAGCAAAAAGACTGTTAAAGAAACAAGTTAGGATGGCACACAAAAAATCAAATACTTAAGCTCACAGGGTCTTAGAGCTGGGAAGCAGTACTGGATTTTTTACCTCAGAGGGTCCATTTTTTCACTCTCTGGTTGTCACTTGCTAATCAGAAAGTCAGGCTGGCTGTCAGCTTTGTCGTCCATAAACATATAATAGGATGAGGAAGTAACTAGTACCTAATAAATGTGACTTACCAGGAGCCAAACATTTTAAATGTGAGGCAACTGAATGGATTTCTGATGGCATAAATTAGGGACTGTTCTAGAGGTTTCTCAGTCTTCAGGTTCTGATTCATTTCTAGGTCATGAAATCATGGTAGTGAGTAGAATTAATAGACTAAAAAGTATCCCTTTGAAAATGAAGTTAGTGGAAGAAAAATATCACAGTTTATCCTAAGGGATGAATACTTGGCCTGTAAATTTTAATTTCAACACATGTAGGTGCTGGATCTTAATGTAAAATATGGTTTAGTTTTTTGTTTGTTTGTTTGGCTTGGCTTTTTGCTGATGGCTTTCAGTCAAAACAAATGCCAAGACTCTTCCTGTGAGCTGGGCTAGTGACTTTCAGTTTGCTCCTGGGACCACAGGCTTTAGGGTCACTAGGGAGACTGTCAGAAAGGCAGATTCCTGAGCCGCATGGCTATCCACTGAGCCAGACACCTAGGGGTGCATCCAGCACCCAGTGGCTTCATAGGCAACAGCTTGGAAAACTGCTAGCACGCAAGCCTTACTCTTCCAGGAGCAGCCTGGGAACAGTGTTGGCCCCGCCTGTGACCTAGCTGCAGACCAGGATCTGAGCCCCAATCTAGGCCTACTCAGTCAGAATCTTACACAGAGAACCAGCATGTAGGCAGCAAAGACAGGGGAGCACTGAAACCCCCCAACTGCTAGAGGCCAGATAGTGAGGAGAGGGGATCTGATTTCTTCCCCAAGGGCATAGAGCAGGGAGAAGGCACTGCTGTGACCTTCAAGGACTTTTCCTTATAAAAAAATTTCTCATGTCCTACCAGTTGAAGTTAACACACCCGATCAAATTCATCAACTAAGACACCACTTTAAGCAGATTTGAAACTCTCATTTTAATAGTGATCTTCAAATTAACTTCTTTGATCTTTTTTAGGAATTTATCAAAGAGCTTCTGTCCCGGATAAGAGGCATGAGGAAACTGAGCCCTCCACAGAAGAAGGGTGTATGATTCCGGACAGGATGGCATTTTCTCAAAGACCAAGAAAGGCCCTGCGATGTAGACTTCATGAAGACTTTTATTAAACAATAGTTGTTCTTATGACAAACTTTTTTTGGTGTGTGGGGAGGGACTCTATTAATATTTTATTCAAAAGTGTTCTTTTTCGTTGTTTTTTAAAAAAGACTTTTATTAGTGTAATATTTTAATAGAAAAGGTATCACAACTCTGACTGCAGCCTAACCAAGGATGATCAAAGCAGGGAGACATCCAAGGATAGGTGAGGCCAGGCTGTTTTCTGCAAAGACTCAGATACTTAGAACCTTATGATACAGGGAAGATGGTTTTCTTACAACCAATTTGGTAATTCTTCTTCTTCTTCTTCTTCTTCTTCTTCTTCTTCTTCTTCTTCTTCTTCTTCTTCTTCTTCTTCTTCTTCTTCTTCTTCTTCTT